CCCTGTGTGGGTGAAGGGAGGATGGCATCCCCCATGCAACCCAAGTTTACTTGTGCTTTGCACAGGAACTGCAGATTTCACCCTAAAAGCTGCCCAGATGCTCTTGGTCTAGCAAAGGGTACCCAGACTTCAGTCTCGGAGGCACACCTAAATTGCTTCCCTTGGAGACTACGCTTCCCAGCATGCAATGCTCCACCTTGAGCTGAGCACCCTTGCTAATGAGATCAAGATTGAGCATTGCATGCTGGGATCTGCCATGTCCATTACAGGACCTTTGTATTAAAGAGAGCCATGGATGGTATTCTAGAAGTCGCTGGGCCACACCTGGTCTTTGAGGTGTCTATCAGACACCCCTACCTGAGCAAATAGGATTGACTTCAACTGGTTCATGACATGTTTAGAATAGGGTGTGTAATTCCAGCAGATAAAACAGACAGCATGTAAAATATTTTAGCACTTAAATTAGACAAGCACTAATGGGTGTCACTTAAACAGTTGCACTTGACAATTCTCACAATTTTATCATGAGTCTCACACTATTTGGTGCTTTCCTTAAAGCCCCCACTTCTGGAGTCATGTGAATACATGAGAATCTCAGCTCTTTTTTAAAGTGAGTTTCTTGCCCATGTTGTTGCAGAGAAAAGCTTGAAAACATGATCCCTAATGTATCTGAAACCAGAATACAAACTAAAAATGACCCAATATTTATTATAATTATTTACATATGATATTTGGAGGCCTGACTTGTGATTATTTTTAAACACTTGGGACTGGCAGGACTGCTGTCTACTGCTCTCTGCCACTTTATTTCTCTCTGAAATAGGGCCAGATTTTCAAAGTTCAGCATGGACAGTTACATGCAGGTATTTGCATATGCTTAACTCGTGTGATTCTATAAAGGCTTTTACACTGTGCCCATCTCAAGGGTACCTGAGCACCTACCTCCCACGTGTGTCACCTGACATGAGAATTTAGACACCTGCAAATATATGTGTGCAGCTGCAAACACCTAACATTGCAAATCAACTGCAAAGGCTGGAATTTGCAAAGAAACCTTGAGAATCGGGCACTCAGCTCCTACTGACCTGGGATTTGGGTCCATTGCAAATCTCAGCCCAAATGTCTACTCCACTCTTAGACAGAAACTTAGCTGCTCCCAGGGGCGGCTCTAGCTTTTTTTGCCGCCCCAAGCATGCAGGCAGGCTGCCTTCGGCGGCTTGCCTGCGGGAGGTCCCCGGTCCTGCGGATTCGGCGTACCCACCGCCGAATTGCTGCCGAATCCGCGGGACCAGCGGATCTCCCGCAGGCAAGCCGCTGAAGGCTGCCTGACTGCCGCCCTCGCAGGGACCGGCAGGGCGCCCCCCGCGGCTTGCCACCCCAAGCACGCGCTTGGAGTGTTGGTGCCTGGAGCCGCTACTGGCTGCTCCTGTCACAACAGACATGCTGACACTGCTCCCACTGTAATAACACATCCTCAGCCCTGTCTATGCTCAGTTTAGAGTTTTCAAAGCAAAATCCTGCAGATTTATTGATTGGTGCAAACAGGAACAATTTATTTGGTCAGACGTCACTAGTTCTGACTGAGCCACGCTGATTAACTATGCTCCAGCCCCACCAGTGCTCCAAGGACCTGCAAGTCATGCTCCTCCTGTTGGACTCTGTCCTGGTGGTTACCTTGGCTATAAATTGTTCTAATGCAGTGGGTCTCAAACTTTTTTTACTGGCGACCCCTTTCACATTGCAAGCCTCTCAGTGCGACCCCCATAATAAATTAAACACCCTTTTTAATATACAGTATTTAACACCATTATAAATGCTGGTGGCAAGCGGGGTTTGAAGTGGAGGTTGACAGCTTGCGACCCCCCATGTAATGACCTCACGACCCCCTGAGGAGTCACGACCCCAAGTTTGAGAACCCCTGTTCTAATGCCTCAGGGAAGGGCCAAAGCTTCCATTTCATTTCCATCTGTCAGCATCAAAGCCTCCCCCTAGCTACTGGGCCACCCCACCACCAGCTTGATTTCAGTCCTAGGAAGGGCACCTCACTTGCGCGGAGAGGGGAGGAGGAGAGAGGTGGCCTCTGCGTGAAACAGGAGTGACTAGCACTTTGACAGCCAGGCAACGAGCCAGGAGCTGAAATGCTGCTTGTTTGAAAATGAAAAAATCAATCCACACCCATAACCGGGGCTGGTACTTCAGTTACATCTTCCAGATCGATGTCTCTTGTTGGTGACAGCGGGTGACCCTGTAGCCACAGGCAGTGGGCAGCAGGAGGCCACGTTCTAAGAGTCAGCTGGGCACATTTGACTCTGGGGGTACCCGTCAGACCCTCTGGAGGAGACAGTGCCTTGGGCAGTGGTTTCCACGGCTCCAAGCTACTGTCTAAGTAGGAAGCAATTGCACAGCATACGCAATTCGAGAGAAAGGATTGACGACTAAGATCCATGAGCCAAAAGAAACAATAGCCAATTGGCTGTTTGTTCCTAAGGCTTTCACTCTTGTGTGCAATAGAGGCTGAACTGGCAAAGCCTGGGTGTGAGGGTATGGAGACCTCTCACAATGAGCCAGAGGCACCAACAGACCCCAGCATCTGGCTTCATAAACATTTCATACAATTCACCTTTGTACAATTAGCCACAGGGGTTTCCGTTAATGTCTCTCCGATACACTCAGGGGAGCAGAGCATCAAGCACAATGGGCTGTTTGCTTTGAATTTCAAGATGAAAGAGACCAACGGAAAGTTCTCCACTGCACCTACAGCTGCAGGAAGCACGGGCAGCTGTTCTTAACCAGCTCCTAGCATTGGAGGGCTGGAAGCCTTAAGTCAGAGCGTTACTTCAAAGCTGCTTTTAACGCTTAGTTTCGAAGAGAGAGGCAGTGAACACAATGATCAGGCAATACCCACAACTCTGCAGTAAATACAGCACATTACAAGCAAAGACACTTCCAGATGTTTCCCAGCTGGCAGTCATCTTTGGAGCTGGACTAGAAAACCCTTCATCACCCACATTAAGTGTGTGACTGCCAGCTACAATAAACCGTTGTTAACATAGATTTCCCGGCTGAGATTTTAAACCATGCTCGGGTGACTTTTACCGCCGCAGAAGCTGTAAGTTTCGTTACATTACATAATTCAGTTAGGGGCTTAAGCTTTCAAACTGGCCACGAAAATTGACCAGCCCAAAAACCAAAATCTGCTTCCCTCCTCCCCAGGCTACTGATTGAAAAAGAAACACGTACTATTTTCCTTGCATGACAATGAAGAAAAACAAACCCCCAAAAGCTTGACCCCAAATGGATGAGTTAGTAGCATTTTACAAAGTTGGGAAATGAAATAGGCGTGTGTATTGTTAGGGAACAATGCTAGGAACTGCACATTGCTCCGTAGGAGAAAGCAAGGATTTTCCCACCCTTTCCCAGTCCAAATGATGGCACTCCACATTATGGACAAATTTTCAACCCCGGGCACCTCGATCATGGATGCAAAACGTGGGGCTGCAAAGACACAATTCTCTGTCCTTTGTACTCACACACCTGTTCTGCCCACATCACTGCCTGCTTGAAGGCAGATTTTGCAGGTGCCCCTTGGTCACAGGTAGTTGACCGTGCGCATCACGGTGGGTGTGTGCGGACACACACACACGGGTCACAGCAGCTAGAACAGCATCCTTCCCCCCAGGGTGCAGCCCCGGCCAGAAGTCTCCATTACGGTGCGTTCTACCTGCCTTGTGGGATCCAGCCAGCCCCCAGCCCAGCGCACACAGCCAGCCGCCGGCTCCGGCTAGCCTGGGCTTGAGCCCCCTGGAACTGGGAGTCGCGGGAAGGGACCGTTACGCTGCTCGCCGGCTCGCCCCGCTTCACGCACAGGGGGAACGCGCCCCGCGCCTACTTACATCGTGGAAGAGGGCGAGCCCCTGGCCGCGGGGCTGCGGGGGTTGCCCGGCGCAGGGGCGGGGGGCGGGCTTGGCAGACAGCAGGCACATTGCCAGCATCTCCGCACAGGCCAGCATCTCCTCCAGCCGCTCCAGCGGGGGCTGGAGCCGGCGATGTCCCCTTGGGCAGGAAGGCGCCCGGGAGTCTCCGGCGGCTGGCCCCGGGGCTGCTGCGCTGGAGCTGGGCTCAGCAACTCCCTCGCGCTCCCAGATGCTCCGGCCGCTGCCAGCCTCCAGCGGGCAACTTTCCCCGCCCGCCTCCACGCCTGCCTGATTGGACGTGAGCGGGGATCTGTCACGCCAGCCCGCGGGGCGCCGCTACATACTCCGCGCCGCGGCGCGCCGTTCTCCGCTCGCCGGGAGCCCCTGGCTGCGGGCTTCTGCCAGGCTCCCCGCGGAACCTCTGCCTTCAGTGGGGAGCCCGTCCTTCCCCGGAGTGCCGCGGGGGTCAGAGGGGCTCGCCACGGAGCAGGCCCCGGCTAGTCACTGCCTTAGCACGGGCACTAAACACCCCGCCGGGTGGTGCGGGAACAGAAAACAACCGACAGACTGGGCAGCGAGCTGGCCCGGCAGGGCCAGGACCCCCGCCCCCACGGTCAAGCAGAGAAACCGTTTGCAGACTAAACACCGGCACCAGGGCGATCACAAGCTACTGGGCAAGAGCGGCTGGGGGCGGGACCCCAAATCTTGTATTAAATACCTGAAACGTCTAAGGCCAGATGCAACCAACTCCTATAGCTTCTGCAAAAGACCTGCGCCTTGGACCTGCCATCTCTCCTTCAGCACCTTTGCTGGAATGATCCTAAGTTCCTCCTAAGACATGGGCACTAGGCCGTTTTTATAAAGCGGCAGGGATTTGGCAGCTATGTATGTTGCACTAAATAACCATAGAATATCAGGGTTGGAAGGGACCTCAGGAGGTATCTAGTCCAACCCCCTGCTCAAAGCAGGACCAATCCCCAACTAAATCATCCCAGCCAGGGCTTTGTCAAGCCTGACCTTAAAAACCTCTAAGGAAGGAGATTCCACCACTTCCCTAGGTAACCCATTCCAGTGCTTCACCACCCTCCTAGTGAAAAAGTTTTTCCTAATATCCAACCTAGACCTCCCCCACTGCAACTTGAGACCATTACTCCTTGTTCTGTCATCTGCTACCACTGAGAACAGCCAAGCTCCATCCTCTTTGGAACCCCCTTCAGATAGTTGAAGGCTGCTATCAAATCCCCCCTCACTCTTCTCTTCTGCAGACTAAACAATCCCAGTTCTCACTTGGACTTGTTTCAAAGAATCCTTCACTTTGTTTCACTAAACATAGGAAAAAGCCTGCACAGAGTGAGGGCTGCAAAGGGCAGCCTAACCTGCAGTCAGAAAGCCCCCTGCACCAGCCCCCCTTCAGCAGCAAAACCAAGCTCTAAGTAGAGCTCCCAAATAAAAACCAAGTTTGAGAGAAAGGTGAGGTGGAAATAAACCAACGCATTCCAAAGAGTGGTGTTAAAATGCCAAACAATTGGCAAATGGGAAAATGAACAGTTAGTGCAAACCTCAGGAGACCTGAAAATCCGCCCCAGCCTTAACTCTGCCCCCATCATTCGTGCTTCTCCTCCCCCTCACAGGGGCAGAGCCCCACAAGTCTCCACCTAGTTTGTATAAATTATTACACACCCCAAAAACATTAACTACTTTAAAAGAACTTTATTAAGGTTGCAAAGTCAAGTTCCCAAAAGGTAGGAAATTCCAGAATTAAGATTTTCCTGTGCAACCTTAATTAAGCCCCTTTGTGTATATACATGATGAGCCAGTCTTTAGTTACATGGTCCCAAGTTATATTTTTCCACACTCAGTCCATGGGGTGAAAAGTGTTCCCTGAATGAGCTGCTACTCACTATTCTATCTTCATTGTTCAGTGTGTAACCAGAGGCATTATTTACTGCACACTGTTCAAACCCTGCTCTGAAGACAGTTATTAATTTCCGCCTGGGTTTTCTATGGCGCGCATCACTATAGTATCTGAGACCTGGATCTACAAGACACTGAGGTATTGCGATGCTGAGCATGGCAACACCTACATTTTAGGCCCCTAGAAAATCACAGGAACATCACTGCGAGCCACAGAGCCTGAGTTAGGCACCCAGGCTCCCTATACAATGAATGGGGAGAGGCTGTGACACAGTAGGGAGCGGGGTAGATTGACCTGGGAATGTCGTTTAGTTTTGCTGGAACTGTCTGCATGGGGGATGGGAGGGCAGGGGAGGACGTGGGGTGAAGGACAGGGCGGGGGCGGGGAACCGGGGGGGGGGGGGGAGAGTCAACACCTTTGCCTGGGAAACTGGACAAAGGGAGAGAGCCTGCTGGAGGGATTTTTTTTTGTTTCAGTTTTGGGCTGCTTGGAAGAGGCAGGAACCCAAGTCTGGGGTCTAAGATCCTTGCCCCCCAGAGGGACCTGGCTGAGGGGTCCTGGTTGTACTTACAAGCCCTGCTTGGGACTGTGTTCCTGTCGACAAATAAACCTTCTGTTTTACTGGCTGGCTGAGACTCACGGTGAATCACAGGAAGTAGGGGGTGCAGGGCCCTGACTCCCCCACACTCTGTGACAGAGGCGCCTTAGAACGCCACCCACAAAAGCCAGGGAGCCACCTCAGCTAGCAAATGGGAGATGCCAATGCCAGGGGTGAGTCATAAATCCTGCTCCTCTCTTGGAGTCTAAGTCAGGGCTGCAGGGAGGGGCTGATCTCTGCTAGTGATCCACAGCCAGGAGCCCCCCCGGAGGCAGGCGGCTCAGGTACCTGTGTCACTCGGGAGAACGAGTTTGGCACCTGCCTCACTCCACACAAAACAGCAGCAGTTGCAGGCAGTTCCCAGTGGACAACACACTCATTGGGGATGTGGGAGCCCCAGGTTCTATTCCCCTATTGCCTGAGGGTGAGAAAGGATTTGCAGAGGGATTTTCCACCTCTCAAAGCAGTGCTCTAGCCATGGAGCAGTGGGATAGTCCGATGCATGTATCTCCTGGTGATGCTGTACCACCAAGGATCAAAAAATGAAAGAATTAGTTGGCCAGGGAGAGAAACCAAGAAAGAATACAGCTGAAGCAGGGTGGCTGGGCAGCTGTCGGGTCCCCCCGCATCCCACCCTGCCTTGTTGCAATCTTTCTGGGCATGGACCCTTCTCAGGGAGAGGTCCTGGGCCTCCATTTTGCTCGAGGAGGAGACGACTCTGCAGCTCCAAGACTGAGTCTCCGATGGTCCCGTCTGCACCCCTAGCTCAGACCTCCTATCCCTGGCCCCGACCCACATCTGCCATGGGCCTCAGTGGATGTTCGGTACCTTTATAACAGCCCTTCTCTAACCGGTGTAGACACTTTGCCCCTGTCCCCCTCGCTCAGGCCTCCAGCGCTCCCCCTGAGGGGAGCTAGCAGGGAGGAAGGGCCAACGCTTCCTCCCCCACTGGTAACGTACCCAGAGTTGCCCACATTCCCAGTGACCAGTGTCTGTCCCTCCCTCCTCAGGGCACCAAGGGGGCCATTTCACAGCCGGGCTGCAGTTGTGATTGCCCCCTCATGGGACTCCCCCCCTTTGAGTTTTGTGCCCGTTTTTTTTCATGGTACTGCTCTCGCTCCCCCTCCTCTCTCTGCCCCTGGAACAGCCACTGCACTGACTCCTCCTGCTCTCTCTCGCCTGCTGCCAGCACCATTGGCCTTCTCCTCTCTTGATCCCAAAGATTGGCATCAATCTGCTGGTGACAATGCTCTAGCCCTAAGGTCTGGGGCCTGTCAGAGTTGGGGCTCCTCGGCTGTATTTCCAGCTCTGTCACTGACTCACTGGGTCACTCTCCCTTGCCGTGCCCTGGTTACAAATAACTAAAGATAAAAGATAAAATCTGAGTTATCTGACCAAACCACAGCCAAATATCTTGTCCACGTTTCAGACCTCAGGAGACAAGCTGTCGTGTGCGGCAGGCAGAGAACAGGAGAGACAGTGGTGCCCCCAATGCCTGAGACCCCTGCAGTGGCAGGCAGATGATTAGGTGGGATATGCCCAGATGGTCCCAGCAGGTGATCCCTGCTCCATGCTGCAGAGGAAGGAGAAAAACCCCAAGATCTCTGCCAATCTGACCTGGGGGAAATTCCTTTCCAACCACAAATCTGGCGATCAGTTTGACCCTGAATATGTGAGCAAGACTCACCAGCTAAGCGCCTGGGAAGAGGGGATTCACTGTACCACCTCAGAGCTTTGGGTCATCTTCTCCAGTGTCCTGCCTTCAGCTGTGGCCAATACCTGATGCTTCAGAGCAGGGGTGGGCAAAATACGGCCAGCGGGCCTGATCCAGCCCATCTAACATTTCTGTGTGCCCCGCCAGGCTCTTTGGCTGCCCCCTCGCGATCTCCGGGCCACTAAAAGTCCCGCGGTGCAACGGGATGCTCAGGAAGGCCCCACATCACTCCCAGAAGGGCCAGCTGCTGCTGGCATGTCTCTGCATGCCCCTGGCGGGAGGGGAGGCAGCCCCACGTGAAACCGGCCAATGGGAGCAGTGCTTGCAGTTGCAGGCAGCGCACGGAGACCTGCTGCCCCCGTGCCCCCAAGGGGCGCGCAGAGACATGCCAGCAGCAGCCGGCCGCAGCCGCAGCCGCAGCCGCTTCCGGGAGCAGCATGGGGCCATGGCATGCAGGCAGCCTGCCTGAGCCCTGCTGTGCCGCCGGCCGGGAGCCACCTGTGGTAAGCGCCTTGCAGCCAGAGCCTGCACCTTACACCCCATCCTGCACCCCAACCCCCTGCCCCAGGTTAGAACCCCCTCCTGCACCCAAACTCCCTCCCAGACCCTGCACCCCCTTCATTAATATAGTAGAAATGTGCGGCACGTGACAACTTACCAAAATTCATGCAGTGGCCCCTTTGTGAAAATTATTGCCCACCCCTGCTTCAGAGAAAGGTGAAAAAAACCCATAATACATCTGGCCAACTATGCATCAGGAGGCAAAAACTTCCTTCCTGACCCCTGCAGATGACTGGTGGAAGCCTTGAAGCATGAGATTGATTATAGTCATTGTCTTAATGCAGAGCTGCCAGTGTGATGAACATATTGAAGGGAAAACATAGCTTCCTGTTCTCTCCATGGCCTAGAAGGGAGGGAAGGTGGCAAGTGGAAGGGAAGGGTT